AAATTTAATTTAATTTTTTATTTTTTTAAATTTTATTTTATTTTAATTTATAGAACTTTCCATAACCTTTATGTAGACCACACTTCCCTTCTCTCATGAACCCAACTTTATTTCTTTTTCCTTAAATTCTTTTATTGGTACATTTTAGGTATACATTTATCTTTATCGCTGGGTGCTTGTACCTGTACATGATGCATCTTGGTTCTTATTTTTTCCCCATTCACTGTCCTCCTTTCACCCCCTCCACCCTTCCCTATTTACAAAGACTTTGTTTCCATTTTTTCTTTTCTCATAATTTTCCCTTTCCCTTCTTTCCTTTCCCCTTCCCCTCCCACCATCCCTACCCCTTTGGACCTTTTCTTCCTATTTCAAATTATCGATTAGTCATTTTAATCATTTTAATCCTTATTTACACTTTCAATTTCTCACACCAGAGAAACTATTCAGTAATTACACATGTGTGTTCTATGTATTTCACTTAAGATTATTGCCTCAATGTGCATCCATTTAGCTATAAATGTCTCTAATTTCTCATTTTTTATGGCTGAGTAGTGCTCCATTTTATTTTTAAAAACCCCACATTTTCTTTATCCAGTCTCCAGTTGATGAGGACTTGGGCTGTTTCCAAGCTTTAGCTATTACAAACTGCTGCTATGAACATGGGTCCACATATATCACTGTGGTATGATTCTCTTAATTCTTTGGGGAAGATACCCAGCAGAGGAATAGTTGTTCTCAAAGTAAAATTTAAAAAGGATGGAGGCTGTAGCCCTGGGATAGAGTGCTTGCCTCGGATGCATAAGGCCTTGGGTTCAATTCCCATTACTGCAAATAAATTTTTAAAAATGTACTCGTGTACCACTAAAATCATCTGGTATGTGTACTCCAGTGCTCAGAGTAGACTTACATTAGTGGACTCTCTCAGGCTTATGGAAACCAAGGACTGTCTGTGTGTGTGTGTATGTGTGTATTGTGTGTATGAGGGGCTTCTTGGCCAGTGGGTATGTGGTCTTCCCTATTTTCTGCATGGTGTTTCCTTCAACACTGAGCCAACAGTTCCAAAGCATTGTGTGCAAACCTTTAAAATCCCTTCATGTCCCTGTTTGCATCAAGGCATCCTCCCCAAGTTTCTGTTATTCCTTCTTTTATTGGAGCTGGTTTCACCCTGCTCTGTCACACCCTAGGGCGAGTCTGTCACACCCTAGGGCGAGTCTGTCACGCAGGCAGATCAGCTGACTTGAGAGATTGCTTGCCCTTGGAACACTGAACCATGTCTTGGGTCCCAGAAAGGGCTGGTCAGCTGATCTGAATAGCCCTAAGCTGCTTTTATGTTTGTTTCTCTTGCTCTCTCTGTTCTGGTGCTGGGAATCAATGAAGCCAGGACCTTGTGCATGCTAGGTAAGCACTCTACCACTAAGCTACATCCCTGGCCCCTCTTAAATCTTTGTCAGAATGTGTATTTTTAAAATGTTTTTATTCATTTTGTTGAGGTTTAACTTCTAGTCTTAAAATATATATCTTGATTAGTTTTTATTTAAGAATTCATTCACGAATCACTACAGAAATCGTGATGTAGTCCTGTGCTATTTAGTACAGTAGCCCACAGCCACATGCACTTATTGAGCAATTGAAGTGTGGCTAGTTTCAGGGTAATAAAAATATGCCTTTGACAACATAGTACCAAAAAAGTAACATATACCATTGGTATTTTTTCATTGTTGACTAATGTCCAAGTGACACAATATTTTTTATATATTACATTAAATAAAATATATCATTAAAATTAATATCACCAGTTTTTAAAAACATCTTTTAAAATATGGCTAATAGGTAACTTTCAATTATACATGCAGCTTGCATTATATCTCTTTGGACAGCGCTGGTATAGAACAGTTCCAGCACTCTAGAACTCACGTTTCTTGCTCCTCAATGCCATCCTAAATGTATCCCCTGATCACTAGCATCCTGGATTCATTTGGCCAGTATTAGACCTTTATGTAATTGGAATCCTATGGTATGTACTCTTTCATATCAGGCTTTTTTCATTCAACATTAAATCTGTGAAATTCATCCATAGTTTAGTAGTTTGTTCTTTTTTACTGTTCTGTAGTATTTTATGGTATAAATAGGCAACAGTTTATTTTACCTGCTCTGTTGTTTGCTAACATTCATGCTAATTCAGTTTTTCATAAAACTATTGTCAACAAAACTTTGTATATGTATTTCTGTGGATAGACAGTACCAGATGACAATTTTTCAGCTTTATAGTGGTTGTTACAGTTTATATCTAGATGTCCCCTGTTTGAGGGGCCAGGGGCAGAATATTATGGCTTGTGTCTAGATGTCCCCTCCAAAGCCTCATGTAGCCATAGGTGGGACTTTTTCAGAGGTGGCTAGATCTTGAGTATGTGATTGATTCCTGGTGCAATGCTAGGATTAAGGGTCCTCAGATTAAGGGTGGATGATTGCTACATCAGTCCACTGAATGGTTTAGCACCACCCTAATCCTGGTATCGTGGACACAATATAAGGGACAGAAAGAGGCTTGTTTTGTCTTTTGCTTGCTTGCTTTTGCTGTCTTCTGCTTGCCATGAACTGTTTCTCCTCTCTGATGCCCCTTTGCCAAGCCACCCTTCCTTGGAGACAGCTGATTATTAAGGACTGAAACCTGTGCAAACTGTGAGCTAAATAAACCTTTGCTCCTTTAACTTGTGGGTTTGGGGCATTTTGTTTCAGCAGTGAGAAAAGTAACTAACACTTCCCCCAAGAGCTTCATGTGCTTATAGATGGGGCTTTTGGAAGGTGATTGAATTATGAGGTGCTACAGCTGACTTGCTGTCAGCAGGTGGGGCCTGGTTAGAGGGGGCGTCATTGGGGTGTGGCCTGGAAGGGTGTATCTCCCTTTTTGTCTCCTCCCTTTGCTGTCTGTTTCCTGACTGCCTTGATATGAGCCACTTTCCTCTGCCCAGACCCCTTTACCATGCCACTGACCATTCAAGGGATGACACTTCTGAAATGTGAGCCTCCTCCTTTAAGTTGTGAGTGTTGCATATTTTGTCCCACCAACAAGAAAGTCATTAAGACAATGGTGCAAAAGTGATACGCATTTAGCAGAAATTGTACTTTGAGTTTTGAATCTTGATCTTTTCCTCAGGTAGTACAATACTCTCATGATACTGGGCAACATGATACTGGGCAACAGCAGTGAGTCACAGCTCCGTTAGCCACACAATCATGAGGGCAAATAATCAACCCTCGATAGAATACTGTGTTGCTAAGCCATGTTGTTCAGCACTGTTAGGTGTATTCAATGCATTTTCAACTTTCTGTGGTTGTTTCTTTTGCAGCACTGGAGATCAAACCCAGGGATACTCTTACCACTGAGATACATTCTCAGCCATTTTTCTTTTTAGACAGGGTCTTGCTAAGTTGCTCAAACTGGCCTCAAATTTAAAATCCTCCTGCCTCCACCTCTTAAATAGCTAAGATTACAGGTATGAGCCACTGTGCCCAATTCAACTTGCACTATTTTCAATTTACAGTGGGTTTATAGGGGTTGGCCCCATTGTGAGTCAAGGATCTTCTGTTCATAAACACTCATTTCTCTTGGTATGTATTTGAGAAAAGAATTTCTGGGTCATAGGGTAAATCTATGTTTCACTTTAGCAGTGCTGCCAAATGGTTTTTCAAAGTAGTTGTTACAGTGTAAACTCCATTTGCCATGGATAAGAGTCCTGGATGCTCCAGTGCTTGTGATTGTCAGTCTTTTTGATTTGTAGCCAGTCTAGTAAGAAGACAGTCTAACTTTCAATTGAAACTAATTCTTACCATTATCTTCTTTTTGCAAGGTACAGACACCCACCTAGAAGATACAGATAGGCAAAAACAAGATAAAAATAGTCATTATCTCAAGTCAACCTCTATTAGCATTTGATACCTGCATTTGTACATTTATCAGTGTGTATTGTGACAAAATGGCATCAAAGTATATTTTTTATTAATTTACCATGACCATCTTCCATGTTTATAAATATTCATCTACAGCAGTTTTTAACAGCTGAATAATATTCTGCTGTATGGCTTTGGCATAATTTAATCAATTTCCTTGCTCTTGAGGTAATCAAAATTTTCACTGTTATAAACAATGTTATAATGAGTGTCCTTGCCATTAAATCTTGGCTCATGTTCTTAAAATTTTCCATTGGTGAAGTTTCTTGTTAAAAATACGGTTTGCAACCAGGCATAATGGTACATGCCTGCAATTCCAGCACTCTGTGAAGCTGAGGCAGGAGGATTACAAGTTCAAGTCCAGCTTGGAAAACTTAGTGAGATCCTGTCTGAACATAAAAAAGGGTAGGAAATGTAGCTCAGTATGAAAGCCCTAGGTTAAATCCCCAGTACTGCCAACAACAACAAAAGCTAGTTTGCATGATTTGAAGGCTGCTAGACTGTCCTGTTCCTATCCCCATGCAGCTCTTTCTCTACCTTTGAAGCAAGGGGAGAGGGCAAAAGCATCCTGTCTAGAGCACAGGGTTGTTTCTTCCTACATCTGAAGTGTAGGAGGCACGGCACTCCTAGGACTCAGTAATCGATAATACAAAAGCACAGGTGTTTGTTTCTCTGGGGTTTTGAGGGGGCTATATGGGATTCCCAAAGAGGAGACACCTGAACTAAGAAAAGGAAATGTGGATTGAGAGCAGGGGAAGAATGACCAGATGAGTGAAAGTCCAGAGTGGCCTCTCGATTGTGGTCTCATTTGTGGGACTGGGAAATAACACCACTGTGACTTGGCTGCTGTTGGTTCTGACAATCCATATCCCCAGTAATTCCCATTTATATGGGAAGTTTCCCCCTGAGAAGGAGAAGAAATATCTAGAAGTGGATGAAAGGACCCCTCTCGCTCCTTTGGACTAGACTTAAAACACTCTATAAAAAGAGGAACCATAGCAAGAAGCTGGTGGGACAATTCAAGATGGACTTTCCAAGATTCTGAGCAAGGCAGAGCTGTTTAAGGGTCCAGGTGACCTGGTGTAGCTCAGAAGGAGCTGGCCCTGCAGGAAATGCTGTACCCTGAGCTGGGTGCTTATAAAGGAAAGAGGTTTGTTTAGCTCACAGATTTGGAGGTTGAAAGTCCAAGACTGGGTGACCCCATCTGTTTGGCCTCTGGTGAGGACCCCCTGGCTCTGTTACAACATGATAGAGAAACAGAAAGGAACCCAGCTGCATGAAGAAGGGATGTGGAGTGGCCTCATTTTATAGCAACCTGCTCTCACAGGATTAACTCACTGCTTGAGAACAGTATTAATTTCTTCCTAGGGTGATGCCCCCATGATCTAATTGTCTTGCACTGGGCCTCAGCTGTTAAAGGTTCTACCATTTCTTAACATTGCCACTCTGTGGAACGAGCTTCGAGCACATGAGCCATTGTGGGTCAACCACATCCAAAACAGTGCAGGCTGAATCTTCTACCTTGTAGATAAGGATAACACTCTAGGATAGAATGTTGGAGATATTATCCCAATACAGTAACAGTGAGCCACAAGTGACTGTTAAGCCCTTGAAACATGACTAGTGTGATTGAGGAACTGAATTAATTAATTTATTAATTGGTTTATTTATTTAAATGCTAGGATTAAACACAGTGTCTTGTGCATGCTAAAAACTAGACAACAACCCAGCCCATTTTATTCACTTATCCCATTACAAAAGCAACATAATAACAGGAATTAGTACATACCTTTCTGTAATAACTCTGAATGTAAGTGGTCTTAATTCACCAATTAAAGAACACAGGCTGGGCTGGGGATTTAGCTCAGTGGTTTCGCCACTTGCTGCGCAAGCGCAAAGACCCGAGTTCAATCCCCAGTACAAAAAACAAAAACAAACAAACAAACAAAACACAGGCTGACAGACTGGAGTAAAAAACAAGACCCAGCTGCTGCTTGTGAGAAACAAACCTCACTAGCAAAAAAGGATAGACTAAAAGTAAAAAGAGAAAAAAAATATTCCATGCACTATATGGATATTTCCCACAGGGCTGCCTGAGTATTCTCACAGCATAGCAGCTTTCTCTTCTTTAAGAAAGAGAGAGAAGCTGCAGGCCTTTTATGATGTAGTCTCAGAAGTTAGACATCACAGGCTGGAGGTATCCCTCTGTGGCAAAGTGCTTGCCTAGCATGCACGAGGCCCTGATTTCGATCTCCAGAACCACAGTAAATAAATAAACAAAAGAAAGAAAAGAAAAAATAAGTCATATGTTATCACCTATAACATCCATTATATGTATGTATATTTTTCATACAAATGGGGCATTTATTACATTTTATTCATTAGAAGTTAATTCATTTTGCTGTGGTTTAGAGTGAGATGGATTAAATTCTACCACCTTTTGAAGGGAG